CTGTGTGAAAGCAAGACTGAGGCAGAGAGGAAGGTGCCGGAGGTTGAGCTGCTGTTGCCTGTTTGTTTCCCCGCAGGCCGCATTCCCTGGCCCAGACCTATCAGTGTAAGTGAGAACCAGATTCTGTCTCTCCCTACACTCAACCATGACCTTCAAAACCCCACAAAGACCCAGGGTCTAACAGGGTCTCCAGGAGACCCTTTTTTTCTTCTTGGCACCAGAGCTTCTCCAGGAACCAGAAGGAAAGTTTTAGAACATGATACAAGGACAAGACACAAGAAGAAGCCACAACAAAGGTTAACTTTGCTTCAGAGATTGAAGAAAACACTGCTGCAAGGCCACCACACCACAGACTGCAAAGCCCAGATGTGTAGAAATGACACTGACAGCTGCCATTTACTTCCGTGTTGCCTGCTAATATCCAGGTGTCATGATAGCAGCTTACTATGGTATTTGCTGGGAGCTCTGAATTAGCCTATTCCCTAAGCAGTAGTCGTAGTACTAGTAAAAGTAGTTTGTTCCAGTTCATATTCTAAGTACTTTACATATGTTAACACATTTCATTTTGCTGTAAACCCTATGATGTATATATTATTTTGATCCCTATTTTATCAATGAAGATACAGAGCATGGAAATAAATCGACAGGAAAAAAAAATTGCCAGGATTACACAAGTATTCATTGTAGGAGCTGGAATTTGAACTCAGGTAGTCTGTCTCCACAGACAGTGCTCTTAATCTCAGGGGCTGGTAAATTTTTTGTAAAGGGCCAGCTAGTAAATATTATGGCATCGATTTTCATATGGTCTCTATTGCATATTCTTTATTGTTTTTTTTAAAATCCTTTAAAAATGTAAAACCAATCTTAGCTCACAGGAGGCACAAATACAGGCAGCAGGCCCATTTTGCCTGTGGGCCATATGTAATCTGCTGGTTAATACTGCACAGGGTGATCAAAGGTTTAAGCACACAGTGGGTGTGCTATTGCATACTCCCCTTAGGCAAAGCCTATATGCCTGTAATATAATTGGTTTTCCGTTGACAAAATAATCCACAGTTCTGACTTCATCTCTCTCTCTCATTTTGTCTGAATTGATGAGGTTTGGTTGCCTTTTCAATCAGCCTTCCTCCAAACTAGTGTTGCTGTTGTTGGACATTTAAGAAGGGACCGTAAGGATGGAATAAGAGCTTATTTTTCAGTCACTTTCAGCGTGTCATCGGCTTTCTCTCCAGGATGTATTATTATACAGGGAAGTGACCTTAGGCACTATGGCATTGGACTGGAGTTGGATCTTTCTTTGACTGACTAGAAACAAAGGCATAAATAAGATGTAGTATCTCTAAAACCTTAAGGTTGCCACTTTTCTGGGACCTAACCTGACATTAATTAAGGCAGTTCTGCTAGTAGAAATTTATCAGCAACCTGGCATCTAATCCTTTATCATTTTCATTAAAGCTTAAAATGGCTTATAAAGAGACACGGTTCGTGAAATGGATTGATATCGCAATGGAACGTCCTGCTTTCTAGGTACCTGCTATATACTTGGAGATTCAAGACATCATCACAGCATTGTAGGCTAGGCTGCTAGTGAAGAAACCACTGTGAGTTACTGGATTTGCTAAAAATGAAATAAATCTTGGTTAGTTAACACTTCCATAGTACCTAATGCATAACTCAGCCTCATGTGATGAGTGTGAGGAAATCATTGCATTGGTTATTTCAGTTTGAAACTTAAGAAAAAACTTACAAAAGTGTTCTTCAAGTTATTTTGACCACAACTCATAGTAAAATATAGACTAAAAGAATCCTCATGGTACAGTACACGTCTATCTACACACAGATGTAAACTGAAACAAAAGTTTCAGAGTCAATACTACTCTAACTACATTTGAGACATTTCTGATATTTTATTATCTATTCCATTCCATTAAATTTTTTAATGTTCTTTATTACAACTAAATTTATTTCATAATTTATTAATGGGTCTTGACTCAGTTTACAAAACACTTCCCTAGAAGACCCACATTCTCACACTGCTCTGGTTTACAAGAAGCAACTGTTTGGGGGTTCTTCTGTATCTTTACATCTTACTTTATTTGTTGAGAACCAGATTTATGTGAGATTTACATGTAAATCACTGTACCAGGCTCTATGGGAAGTGCAAAGAGATGTCTTCAACTACCCCAAGCCAGGAATTTTCTGAGTTGCCAGGAAAACACAGGTGAACAAAGCAACATATAATCTCTGCCCTCATAGAGTTTATGATCTAGTGAATGAAAGAAACTCAGAACTCAAGGAGTTCGGGAAGACAACATAGTCAAATGAATGACTTAAGTAAGTAAATTGTTTTATTAGCATTTTTCTGGATAAAAAGTATTTCTTTATCTAGCAGGGTCAGTCCCATTTTTACAGATGAGAAAATGGAGACTCAGAATCTGTCATTTAGGCTTAAAGACTTAAATATAAGACATGACACCATAAAACGCCTAGAATAGAACATAGGCAAAACATTCTCTGACATAAATTGTACCAATGTTTTCTTAGGTCAGTCTCCCAAAGCAATAGAAATAAAAGCAAAAATAAACAAATGGGACCTAATAAAATTTATAAGCCTTTGCACAGCAAAGGAAACCATAAACAAAAAGACAACCTATGGACTGGGAGAAAATATTTGCAAATGATGTGAGAGACAAGGGCTTAATTTCCAAAATATACAAACAGCTCATACAACTCAACAACAAAAAAAAACCAAACAACCCAATCGAAAAATGGGCAGAAAACCTACATAGACATTTCTCCAAAGAAGAAATACAGATGGCGAATAGGCACATGAAAAGATGCTGAACATCACTAATTATTAGAGAAATGCAAATCAAATCTGCAGTGAGGTACCACCTCACATCAGGCAGAAAGGACATCATTACAAATGTTGGATAGGGTGTGGAGAAAAGGGAACCCTCTTACACTGTTGGTGGGAATGTAAATTGGTGCAGCCACTATGAAGAACAGTATGGGGGTTCCTCAAAAAACTAAAAATAGAGTTGCCATATGATCCAGCAATCCCAGTCCTGGGCATATAGCCAGACAAAACTATAATTCAAAAAGATACGTGCACCCCTATGTCCATAGCCACATTATTTACAATAGCCAAGACATGGAAGCACCCTAAATGTCCATCGACAGAGGAATGGATAAAGAAGACATGGTATATATACAATGGAATATTACTCGGACATAAAAAAGAATGAAATAATGCCATTTGCAGCAACATGGATGGACCTAGAGATTATCATACTAAGTGAAGTAAGCCAGACAGAGAAAGACAAATATCATATGATATCACTTATAGGTGGAATCTAAAAAAATGATACAAATGAACTTATCTACGAGACAGAAAAGACTCAGTTCTAGAGAACAGACTTGTGGTTGCCAAGGGGAAGGGGTGAGTGGGGGAGGGAAGGACTGGGAGTTTGGGATTAGCAGATACAAACTATTATATACAGGATGGGTAAACAACAAGGTCCTACTATAGAGCACAGGGAACTGTATTCGATATCCTGTGATAAAACCATAATGGAAAAGAATATGAAAAAGAATATACATATATGTATAACTGAATCACTTTACTTTACAGGAGAAATTAACATAACATTGTAAATCAACTATACTTCAATAAAATTTAAAAAAAGAATCTGTCATTTACCAGAATTACATCATTGTTTACAGGCCAAATCCAGGATTATTTGTAATAGACATGCTGCCTCACATGATTAAATGTTTTGGTTTTTTTTTTTGAAATAAAGTGGGTTGGGAGTTTAAAAGAAGTGGTGATTAAGTCACGTTATAAAAATGTTTTCACCTTGAGAAAGCTTGGAAGATGAGAGGTCCCATTACTCATCTCTCTTTCCTTCAGAAGGAGCTAATCTGATAATTTTTGAAATCGACAAATTATGTCTTTTAAAGAGAAGAATGGCACCTTCTTGTACTTTGCAATCTTTTCTGATTAAGTTCTTAAAATCCCTCATTTGGAATTTTACTCATCTAAACCCTTATTTCAAAAACCAGGAAAGAAAGTGGGACATTTTCTGCAGATCATCAAGGAAAGGAACCAAAGAATGTCACCTGTCTGGGAGAATCTAGGCTTTGTTCTTCTCTTCACCAAGCATTTCTTGAGCATTTACCCAAGAGACCATGCTATCTATACATTAAACATCTACTGCTCCTAGGAAGGAGTGAACATGTTATTATTTTTTAATTGATGTATAGTTGATTTAAAATGTATTAGTTTCCGGTATATAGCACAGTGATTCAATATTTTTATAGATTATATTCCATTTAAAGTTTAGGAGTGGAAATTTTTAAATGGCAGATGGAAAAGATCATCTCAACTTCAAATGAAGTGTATAAAATAGACTTTTATACTCATAATCATCCTCTTCTCTTAGATATCTGTGCCTTGGGGATCAACTCATTCTGTAAACTTACATGTGTAATAGTTTCTTACTTGGGAAAATTGAGATCATTTGGATACACTAAAGAGCGGTTTTAGTGAGAAAACAGACAAGGAGAAGATTTTTAAAGTGCCAACCCTTAGTAGAATTCTATGCACAGAGGACCAGGTCTCTGGCCACCTATGTGAAACCCTGTTATATCCACTTAGAGCCCAACAACTTCTCTCTTTCTTAACGTTCACCAAGAGTTTTAATTGTCCACTCATTTTGTGACTATTTAATCCGTAAGAGTCTCTCTGGGGAGACTTCACTAGACTACAGTCTCCATAAAAGTAGAGATTTTATTTCTACTCTATTACTACTATATCCCCCAGTACTAAGCAATGTGATTAAGTGTTAAAGAAATGTCTATTGGATGAATGAATGGTCATGTTAAGGAATGCTGTTTTAAATACAGTACTTAGGTTTAGTTCAATCTTTATATATTATTCATTAGCTACTAAAAGAGCACCTGAATCACTCATGATGTTCTTTTTGTTTGTTTTACAGTCAACTTTGACCACTTTGAAATTTTAAGAGCCATTGGAAAAGGCAGTTTTGGGAAGGTGAGAACCAAAATGATTAACCAATAATGGGGTATGTAGCTCAGAGAACAGAGAGCCCAAGAAGGTTCAGATTAGTTACTGGGACCACAGTAAATGATAATTCAGAGATGTTTTCATAATGGGTTTTTATAAAATTATTACCACAGTTTGAGCAAAGTATGAGACAGGCAGCTACATAATGAACATGTATGTTCTCAGAATTATCTCAAAGTCAAATCAGTTTACTCACTAGAGTTGGAGGCTTTCTCTACACTAATGGGGAGAGTAAGATTTCATAATCATTTGCAAGTTGTACCAGTACATTCAGTAACAGTTGTCTTGTCAGTATAAGAATTAAATCTTTTCATGTGGGAAAGAAGCCACCTGATTTCTGTTTTCCCCAATTGTACCACAGTTTTATTTTTAAAAAACCTACCACAAAAATCCTACCATAAAATTCATACACATTCAGTCCAATTCTTTGTAAGAATCTTCTAGATTCATATCCTGATTACTATTGTGTCTTGTGGAAACATACTTTAACAGAATACCTCATATTTCATAGTGAACTTGCATTTTAGAATCCTCTGCTGTCGACTTTATCAGGCATTATATGAACCTCTAAAAGAGTTTCACAAACATGCACATCACGCTTCGTGTTTATCCCCATGCTTCAAGTCCTTTTTGGTTGTATCACCTGTGGCTGTCAACAGAAATTCTCGCACAATATTGTTCATCTTGACAGTTTAGTCATGCCTATTTTGGTCACTAAAAAGCAGAATAAGGATGCTGTTAGTTATTGGAAGATTCCTGACATGGAGGCAGCTATTTTCCCCAAAATGCTGTCTTAAAAATCCCCAAAAGCAAAAACAGGCAAACTTGTTTGAGAAGGCAGAGATTTAGAAATCGACTTGGTACAGGGGAAGAAAGTGAAATTTTTTACTCTGAAATCAGAGCTAAGTGGCAACTTCAACATCAGAGAATTTGCAAGTGATGGGGCCTCCATGCTGTGATAAACGGTCTTGTTCTGTCTCATTCCCGTGATCCATCATCTCCCTAATCACTTTCTCACTCTGGTTGGCACCATTAGGTCTGCATCGTACAGAAGAACGATACCAAGAAGATGTATGCGATGAAGTACATGAACAAACAAAAGTGTGTGGAGCGCAATGAAGTGAGGAATGTCTTCAAGGAGCTCCAGATCATGCAGGGGCTGGAGCATCCTTTCCTGGTTAATTTGTGGTAAGTGGTTTTCTTGGACCTCTGAATGGGACACTCCTACCTTCACCCACAAATCCTCTTACATAAACACATCCTGATTTCTACATGTGCATTGGCAAAACCCTCATTGGTATCTTCCTCGGGACTTTCGTTCGCCTTGGCTTCTTTGACTTTATAAAGAAACAAAAATGTTATATTATCACCAGTAAATACTGCTCAGTTCAGTTGCCATTATTTCCCCTTGTCCTTGAGGTCAGTATTTTTTTTAAAGCATTGTCATTCAATAGGCTGGCAAGGAATGAGTTCAGATGTCTTCTCACTCATTAGGTCTTTTTCCCCCTTACTCGTGGGGCAGGGACTTGGAGAGCAAAGTACGGCATCACTGGCAGAGATGAGGTTGACTGTTAGGACTTGTACAAAACACTTTCTTCTTAAAGTGATTGGCAATCAACCTTTTTTCCTTGCAGCATACTCCTTAAGCAGCCACATATATACCTGTGAGTTGGAAAAGGACGGGTGCTGCCTTTCTCACCAAATAGACTTTAACACAACCGGAGCTAATTTATGTCAGTAGCTAGACATTAAATGACTGATCTGCTCTCAAAGCCATTATCATAATCCAAGCCTTAGGAGACAGCGGAGACGCTTGCATTATCTACTGCTTCCTGCTCTCTTCCTACCCATGGAGGTCTCTATGTGGCTGGCTCATTTTGCTCTACATTTTAATGCATCCATTATGTTAAGAGCCAGTTCTTAAAGCTAATTCAGTATGACTGTTATTTAAATATGTATACCAAGCAGTTCTTACTTACTAGCAAAGGGAAAAAAAAAAAAGAGATCTCTGTTCAGAGAATACTAATGGAAAAATCATCGAAATGTCACTGTGTGTTTAGGGAGATTCTCTAGAGGAATCAGTGCATAAAACCTGTCTCCCTCCATCTTTAATTTATACAGTTCACTTAATACACAATTTGCTTGAAGACTCTATGCCACAGTTGAAAAGAAGATGGTTCTGTGTGACTTGGAAATAGGTCTGTTAGAGTGTATGCACTGTTCAGACATGGGGAAGCTCATTTTGGCCCAGCCTCGGTGTATTTAATCAGTATTTTACAATGGCCTCTTCACAATGCTGCCATGTGAAGAGTTAAATGGATGCAGCTCTTTCTTCCCCGTCCTTAGCAATCATCAAATTGCCTTTTTTTCCCTCTCTTCACAATGATGATCCTCCCTTTGTTCAAACTCACACTGTCCTCCTTCAAAAGTTCAACCAAACTAATTTTCTTCTTTTAAGACCAGGAAACCTTTGTAAGGGCACATGTACCATTTTGCCCTCTCATGCTTGTCTGTCATCCCTGAGCAGGCCACGTTGATTTCATTCTATTCCCTTTTTTTTTTTTTTTTTAATAACATGAGTGTTGTGAGACTTTAAGCTGGCCAAAGAGTATAGATTTTGCTACTTGCTCACTTGGTTTCACTCCAGACATCATTCTCTTGTCTGTGCATCCTGACTTGGCAATAACAGGACATATATCCTATTCTACCCTTCTTCTCACTTCTGACACTGAATCTTACAGCAGAATCCTGGGCACCATTAACATGATAGAAGAGAGAGAAGAGACAGCTCCACCCCCATGACTCTAATACCACATTCAGAACTGGAAACTGATAAGGGACATTCCCAAAGGTACAGCAGAAACCCCTTTGTCTTGCAAACCTTGAGATAAAAGTCTTCAGACTTCAGCATTTTTCTCCTTCTAATAAATGCTTTCTGCCTTACTCAGTACAGCATAGTAAATATAAGTGATCTTTCCACAACTATTAAGCACCTTGCAGTGCTTCAGGAGATGTGACTGTAATTTACTTTATCATTTTTAAGTCCCATTGTTATAAGATACGCTTAATGTGTGTAATTCGGGTTGTTTCTATGAGTGAAGTATAATCAAGTGCTCTGCCCGGTGCCCAGCACATAGTAAGCATCTTACAAACGGTAGCTCTTAATTTCCTTGCTCCATTAAGGCATAGCATTCTCAAGTGCCCATCACTGGTGGCCAGTGTGGAACTCCAAAAGACAAATCTGAAGGGTGCTTGGTCCCAAGACATCCTGGCAAGCTGTGTGTGGTGAAGGAAGGGGGGAAGAGCCTTCAACTCATTCCCTGTAAGAGCTTATGTTTGTTTTGTCTTCCACCTGCATTCTGCAAATCAAAGAAAAGATTCCCTGTGTATTATGTACAATTGAATCAAGATTTTTCTATCCTGGGTTTAACTAGACTGAGCTTTGTATCCCCAAAACTTCAGGAGCCGATTTTCTAAGGAAGCATTGTATGATTAACAAAATAATAGTAACATTTTTTAGACACTCATGTACTTCTGTACCCATTCATGTACTCTCTTTTGCTGATACGTTGTGTTGGCCTGCCAATATTGCTTTTAATAATAATCTTCTCAGGGATGCTCAAAATGTCCTCTGGGGATGTGTTCAGAAAATTCTGGTTTTCAGGTTGAAGGAAAACACAAATTGTTTCTCTTTCAAGCAGGTTTTACACTAACGTTAAGACGTTGGTTTATGACTATATTGGTATAAACACAGACACATATGATCTTTGAAAACTTTTCTGCTCATTGCAAGTTGAAAAACAGAAAATCACATAGAGAACTGAAAATTCTCCAATAATCCTATCACCTTGAAACCACTCCTAACAGTGTGGACTTTCCAGTAAAATGTCTGCATCTGATTATGCATGAGTCCCATTCATTCCTTCATTCATGTATATATTTCCGGAGCATCACGATTTATAATCAGGGTTGCCAGATAAAATACAGGATGCATAATTAGATTTGAATTTCAGGTAAATAACCAATAACTTTTAGTATATGTCCCAAGGATCACACAGGACATATTTTAAGTAAAAATTACTCATTATGTGAATTTCTAATTTGTGGGCATGTTGTATTTTTATTTGCTCAACCTGGGGACCCTAACTGTAACAGAGGCCCGTACCGTGGGGACGCAGTACTGAGCACAAATAGCGCGTGAATATATCAACTATGAGAAGTGCATGAAGGAACTAAGTAGAAAGAGGGGTGTGGGTGGTATGTTTTGAGGGTTTTCAGGGAAGGAAGGTCACTAGTCTGGGAGCATCAGTGTTAAGGGTGGAAGAACCTTCTGAATTAAAATTCAGCCTCTCCAGACCTCTCCAGACCTGGCCCGACTCAGAACACAGTTATCAGATAAAGGCCATGTTATAAAGTGAAGGCTGCCCGACAGGGCTGACATCCAAGAAAAGCAAATACAATCTTCCTGCGAGCCCCTCCCTGAGGGCCTCTAAACAAAGCCCTGGCAACCCACAGCCCGCAAAACAAGCGCCTGAGTCCTGCCCGGCACAGCCGATCCCCAGGCGGCTTTTGTTCACTGAGATTAAGCCTGCAGCTGCGCACAGCCACTCAGGGCTCCGCGCTCTCCTCACCCGCGTCTCCCGTTCCTCCCGTCCCGTGAACCCCAAGGGTCCTCGTGTGATTTCAGAAAATGAGAAGATGCGACTGTCTGTGTTAAATGAAAAGGACCATGGGTACTGGGAGTGCGAAAAGGGAGCCCCGTGAGATAGCTCAACACAGTCACATAAATGAGTTCCCTGGAAGCAACCTCTATCATCTGTGACTCAGAGTGCCAGCACCTCTTCACGCAATCAGAGACCTTTGAGAACTCAGGGCAGCCTTCAGAGTCCCAGCATCAACCATAATAGCTTCTATTACTTTGGGTTTTACATATATGTTCTCATGTATTCATCCCAACAACCTACGTGGATGGGGATTATTCCCATTTTACACCTGAAGAAACTGAGGCTCAGAGAGGTTACACCATTTCCCCAGAGTCACACAGCCAGGACCCAAACCCAGGAATCCTGATTTCAAAGACCCTGCTCTTCCTGCTATCCTCTATCCTCCCCCACAGATGTCCTGTGAGACTCTCTTACAAAATACGTACAGAAATGCAATTTATTTGTTGATCTTTCTCCACACCCCACCAGAATACAAACTCCACGACGCAGATACGTTAGTATCTTTTGTTTACTGCCTCACTCTCCAGCTCCTACAATAGTGCCCAGCTCACAGAAAGGGCTCAATAAATATATGTTGAATGAATGAATGAACAAACGAAGTGAATTAGCAGCGGGACTAGTCTTCTGGCTCCTGGTTTTTTGCTCTTTGCCCATCATACCTCTGCCACCTCTTGCACACTCACACACAGCCCCATATAATCACGCCCATTCCAGATTCTTCGTAGGCCCTGAGGTCAGAGGGACCCGAGTTTGAATCCCCGTTTCGCCACTTGCTAACTGTGTAAACGAAGCAAGTTACATTATATGTTTTTCTTGGTTTCCTCATCTATAACTGGCAATTAGAGCAATATCCATAGCAGAAGGTACAGATACAAATAAGAACATGTATATAAGGCATCTCAAACACAGTAGATATTTAATAAATGATGGCTTTAAACAAACAACTCTGAGGCCCCTCCCAGAAATGACATGACCCCCCTGCCCCCATAGCCAGAGACGATTCTAAAGATTCTCAGGCGGACAGAGGCACCTGAACTTGAGCTGGCTTGGGCATTAGAAAGTCTTTTGTTCTAAAATTTTAACTCAAACAATTTCTTTGAATCTAAAATAAATGTCTTGATATAAAATAAGGAACTACAGCGTGTTCTAATGAAAATAACAACTACCCATATATCGTCACTCAGAATAACTGTCGTAATAGTTTTCTATTGCTGCTTTAACAAATTACCGCCCACACAAAACAACAACAAATTACCACCAACTTAGTGGCTTAAAACAACAGGAACTGAAGTAGCTGAGGTTAAAGCTATTTTCGTAATATAATGAAAACATTATTTTCCCTTTGCCCTGCATGGTTATTTGCACTGAAACTTCACAGGCAAAACTAATCAGAACAATGATTACCTATGGAATGTAGAGATTAACTAGAAGGTTGCATGTGGAAAACTTAGGGAGTGATTGAAA